CAGAAGCTGTTCCCAATTAAATTTACATTTGTATACACATGGATGACCCTGATGTTTAGATAGGACATTAATATTGTGAATACTGCTACTACTACAGCTGCAAAGGTGTAATTGCTAGGTGTGGATCTGAAGGTTGTGGGATCGAGTCTGAACAGAGCCATACTTTTTTTTTACAATGACTTTGGTTCCTAGCCTTGACTGGGTACCAGGTAGAGCCCTGGGGGCCGCATTAGTGCAGTCAATAAGAGGCTAGCTTTCAAATCCAGCTGCAACTCGCTAAAGCCCACGGTCGGTGTTCGAAACCGGGCTGCTCCCGGGGTTCACCCAGCCTCTAGGTAATGGGTACCAGAGTGACACTCTGGGTTAAATGGAGGAACGTCACTGTAGCTACAGTGTTACGTGCGGACGGTGACACCGGCGGACAGTTTCTTATTAGCTGTCTGTACTGGTGGCAGAGCACTTATGGTTTATAACCGTGTGCAATGACGCTGGTTCACATCTCCCGACTTGACCTTTTACCTTTGCCCTGGGAAGTTAAAGTGGCCAGCCTAATATTGACCACACCATCTACCTAGTGCAGATTGATGTACAAGGGCTAGCCCTATATGCCCAATACAGGTGAAGGCAGGGAAAAGGATGCTATAGTTTGACTACTGCTAGCACAAGTGAAGGACTCCTGTCAAAGCACTGATACATCAAGCATATGATGCTAAACTGCTGTTGTGTGTACTATGAAATTATCATTTATAATCAGGGATATCTAAACAGCCCATTTACCACGATTACTTTTGTGGGTAACAAACGATAAACATGAACTCTTGCCACCAGAATTCTTGTAGTCTTCAAAGATGTATACAAGATTACAAAATCCCAGATGGTACAACAAGAATGGAAGCAAATCCTGAAGCACTGTGTACAAAATATTTATTAAAAATGACACAAATATGCTTCAGCATTTTTTTTTTTTTTTTTAATAAACAGTCGTTAGAGATTTCAATGATGCATAAAAGATTGCAAATTGCCAGCTGGTGCAACATCAATGGAAGCAAATTCACCAAGGAAAATACTACAACTGTCACCAAAAAAAACGGGCTATTCAAAAATTTCAGGTAGTGTGTGTGTGTGAATCATACTTAATGTAATTTGTGTAAAAAAAAAAAAAAATTCAATTCATGTGAGAATGATCCTATCAGAGTTAATCATTCATGAGATCAATCATCAGAGTGGAAAATCAATCATGAGATCAATCATCAATCAGTCTGATCATTTATGAGGCCAAACATCAGTAAGATCAACTATTCATGAGATCAGTGATGTAAATTATTTATGAGATCAATCATGAGTCAGATAACACATCAAACGGTCATTAATTCATGAGATCAATCATTAATGACTTCAATCATTCAGGAGCAGGAGCAGCAGTAGGAGAAGAAGAAAAACAAAAACGAACAAACACACTTTAATTTCAAAGATTCACAAATTGGGCACGCAGGCCTGTTTTTACATTTGATTCTTCTAAACACCTATCTTTTACACAGCAGTTGTATGTTATCATTAAAACATGTAATGTTCAAGAAGAAGAAGAAGAAGGGAAAGAAGAAGAAGAACAGTGAAGAGGAGAAGAAGATATGTGATGGACCAATAGTATCAAAGTATCTTTTCTGTGGCATGTCTATATACCCTTTAGTATTCCTATTCTCTCCTTCCCTTAAACCTCTGCAAACATAATGGTGATAATATTGCTATGCATAAATCAAAACATGATCAGTGTGTATTAATCCCACAATATTATCAAACATATAAAATATATTGATGACCCAATAATATTTATTTGAAACTTACATATCACATACAATCTTATTAGCATAGGAATCACATTAGCTCATTATAAACCAATCACAAAATGAATTATTATGTGAAGAATTAATTGCTGTTTATAATAGTAATAATGTATGATAATGAAAACACATAAAAACAATTTACTTTGTCTGGAAATAATAAATGATCACATCAACATGTTGAGGGATACAAGTGAAACATTTTTCCATTGATAAAATTATCACCGTGAAGCACCGTTCTTGACTGGAAGTTTCTCTCATCACAGCCCACCTGACAAGCACCGTTCTTGACTGGAAGTCCCTCTCATCACAGCTCACCTGACAAGCACCGTTCTTGACTGGAAGTCCCTCTCATCACAGCCCACCTGACATACAACCTGGTCATTTGCCAGCTTTCCTACCTCAGGCTCTTTCTGGCTAAAATGACTTTGATTTCTTGTGCCCACCCGCTCTCTCATCAGCCCCTGCCTCTCGTATCCCACTACCATGCCCCCCACTGCTGTTACTTCCCAGCCATTGTGATAGTTGATCAGGCTAATGTGTTTCAGTTTCTGAGACAAGAAAAGTACAGTCAGTCAACTTACTACACTCTCTACTTTCTTGACTCTCTTTTCTGTCTCTGCATTGTTATGTTAAATTAGTCGAGAGTAGTGTTCCTGTACTGTCCTGTTTCTTTCAGTCATGACAACAGACAATTTTTATTAGAGTTTTATGTTACAAACTACTGGATGTAAATTTGCCTAGAAAAACCACACAACAGCCAGGGGCTGTTGGGATTGGTTCTGCAACGTCCTGTAACTAACCATTTTGTCACAAGTTCCAGTGTCCTTCTGAAAACTTCAACAAAAATGACGACTGTCTCTTTCTGATGTTTCTGATAAGTTGTCTTCAAGCCCTTACCTCTTTCAAAACATCTGGGCTCCTTTTGGCTGTCCAAGGAATTCTTTTGTTTTACTGCCCACAGTGTCCTTCTCTCAAAAATCGACTGTCTCTTTCTGATGTTTCTGATAAGTTTGTCTTCAAGCCCTTACCAATCACACCTGCCCACACCTCTCATCAACACACCTGAAGCAGATATGACCAACGCTGTATGGACTGGGTTAGCAGATGATGGCGAGTATCTGACAACAGGATGACTGCACAACACAGGAATTTAGCTTGGTGATCTACGTCTCTGCCACCTTCACAGCTAAAATATAAGACAGTATAACCAACCTTTCATGGGACAATTTGGTAGAGAACTTGGTTGTGGCTGCTGCATCGGAGGACTTGACACATATGGGAATGGGAAATGTGCAGTGACGTCAATTACAATCTGGGACTTTTCGCAAAGTAGGACTGCAAACCTGACACCCAAGTCTTTGCACATAGTAACATTCAATCTGACACTGTAACATTGTAAATCTGACACGTAGGGTCGTTTTACAGAGGAACTTAATCTTGAATCTGTTATCTGAGTATCTTTATACTGTAACACTCTGGGAAAAAAAAATCCTGATGCTGATATGTCAGTGTTTCCATGGTGTAACTTACTGTAAAACTATTATCTGATTACAAACAATGCCCAAATAGCAAAAAATGTCAACTACAAATATGGTAAACATTCTAATATTTGTGAACAAAATAGTTGAAGCCTTTATTGTTAGCAATGGTTTTTAATTAGAGGAAACATGGTTGTTGGACAGGAACTAAGGCAGACATGATTTGGTTGTTGGACAGGAACTAATGCAGACATGATTTGGTTGTTGGACAGAAACTAATGCAGGCACAATTTGGTTGTTGGACTAGAACTAATGCAGACATGGCTGTTAGACAGGAACCAATTAATGCAGACATGACTTGACTGTTGGACTGGAACTAAGGCAGACATGTTTTGGTTCTTGGACAGGAACTAATGCAGACATGATTATTTTTTTTAACAGTTACACCTAGTGTAAGTCTGGTCTGTTCATAACAAAACTGATGATAATATTACAACTTGCGATTTATTAAGTTAACGTGACAACTACAGGATGAGTTAAAGTGACAACATATGTCAGAATGAGTAAAAAAAAAAAAAAGAGTTCTCAGGGTTGAAGTAGCAAATTAGGATAGATATTTTGCCCCTGTGAAGGATTTCTGGCATCAGTGAACATAACAACAATTCCTTTAGCAAAAACACCATGACCTGAGTACTTGCAAGTTCTGCCTCCAAAACAATGGCAAGAGTTCGACTAAATGTTTCAAATAACATTAGTAACATCATTATTACGTAATTTTAATGATATATGAGTTGAGAAAAATATAGAAATGGCTGCATGAGCAAGTTGTACCAAAAACAGCAACACAGCAGATCTCTCAGACCAATGTACACGTACAGTATTATGTTGTGACTTATAATAAACGGAAATAGGGAACAAATAAATGATTATCTTATTATGATGGCTTCAATGAAAGTAAACAAGTTAAAGAGCACAGATAAACCAAGGATAAAGGCTTAAACGGTCAACATATACCAGGAACAAAATGTATGTGCTGGTTGAAAAGTATACATATTGCAGTTCCCTTGGAAACAGACAATGCAAATGCTTGGGGAAAAAATGTTAAGCTTAACGAACAACAATAACAGGAAAAATAATATTCACAACAATAAGATATATACAAACAACATTTCTTTTAGCAACGACAATAAAAATATAGAGTCCAGCCAGAAAATAAATTAAAAATAGAAACTATCAGTTAATAGTTGAACAACAACAACAACAAAATATCAGACACACACTGAAAGAAACAAAAACATCAGAATCAAAATAAACATGTTCAAATTCAGCAAAATCTGTGATTGGTATGTTGAAATTAATGGTTTCTAGTTGCCAGGAAGAAAAAAAAAGCAAAGGGTCTGAACTCTAACCCACATAAATGCAGACATGGAGAAACATTGTAACAAGAAAATCAAACTCAAGGACAACAGGTGTCGGCAGCTGACCCTGCTGTTCACAATGTCCAGGAGAAAAAATAAATATAATATGGAAATCTCAGGTGGAGCCAGCCAGTAACTGTCTTCCATTTGCACGGACAACAAGCAGAACTGACACAATTTTATGCACTTTTCATGGAAAATCTTCCTGATAATGATAGACATTTAACAAAACAAATTCAATGATGGCTAAACAGATGCGGCTGTTAGGGATGTCCTATGTCAACAATAAAATGAGTAAATAATTTTTCTATATGTGTTGATACTAATTTATACTGTGCATTGTTAAGGCCTTCCAACTTGCTTCTTTTTGCAGCGGATCGCAGCAGTTTCATTCTGTTTCAGGAAAAGCAATTAAAAATTTAAAAAAAAGAATTAGTACCAGATCATATTTAATAAAATGCACAAACACAGAACATTACATATGAAATTATTTAATACACAACAAGTAAACAAGTAACGATAAGCAACCATAAAAACAGAAGCTGAGATCTCTGCTGAACTACATGGGCCAGCTAACGAGGGTTTCTGTGTGTTGGGGGGGTGTCTGCGCGCAGACGTCCATGTGTTTATGAGTGTTTTTGTGTGCACGCATGTGTGTGTGTGTACACATGTGCACGCTTGCCGGTGGATCCCAGGCAACTGTAACATTTGGGGAAACCACGAAGCAGAACTCTCAGAAAATAACTGGGAGCAATACAGAACAGCCAGATATTTGGTGTACCTATAAGGAAAATAACTGAGAGCAATGAAGAACAGCCTGATATTTGATGCACCTATAAGGAAAAATAACTGGGAGCAATAAAGAACAGCCTGATATTTGATGTACCTATAAGGAAAAAAAACTGGGAGCAATAAAGAACAGCCAGATATTTGATGCACCTATAAAGAAAAATAACTGGGAGCAATAAAGAACAGCCTGATATTTGATGCACCTATAAGGAAAAATAACTGGGAGCAATAAAGAACAGCCTGATATTTGATGTACCTATAAGAAAAAATAACTGGGAGCAATAAAGAACAGCCTGATATTTGATGCACCTATAAAGAAAAAAACTGGAAGCAATAAAGAACAGCCAGATATTTGATGCACCTATAAGGAAAAAAAAAACTGGAAGCAATAAACAACAGTCAGATATTTGATGCACCTATAAGGAAAAATAACTGGGAGCAATAAAGAACAGCCAGATATTTGATGTGCAATAGAGAAAAGCCAGATATTTGATGCACAATAGAGAACACCCAGATATTTGATGCAGAATAGAGAACAGCCATATATTTGATGCACAATAGCGAACAGCCAGATATGTGATGCACAATAGAGAACAGCCAGATATTTGATGCACAATAGAGAACAGCCAGAAATCTGATGCACAATAGAGAACAGCCAGATATTTGATGTGCAATAGAGAACAGCCAGATATTTGATGTGCAATAGAGAACAGCCAGATATTTGATGCACAATAGAGAACAGCCAGATATTTGATGCACAATAGAGAACAGCCAGAAATTTGATGTGCAATAGAGAACAGCCAGATATTTGATGCACAATAGAGAACAGCCAGATATTTGATGCATAATAGAGAACAGCCAGATATTTGATGCACCTTTGAGGAAAATAAAATCCAGATCAAGGCAGCTGTTAAAACCCAGTGAAACAGTTTGCATCCAGGACAGAAATCCCACAGATGCAATCAACCCCTGTACATGACAGAAATCCCACAGAGGCAGTCAACCCATGTACATGACAGAAATCCCACAAATGCAATCAACCCATGTACATGACAGAAATCCCACAGAGGCAGTCAACCCCTGTACATGACAGAAATCCCACAGAGGCAGTCAACCCATGTACATGACAGAAATCCCACAGAGGCAGTCAACCCATGTACATGACAGAAATCCCACAAATGCAATCAACCCATGTACATGACAGAAATCCCACAGATGCAATCAACCCATGTACATGACAGAAATCCCACAGATGCAATCAACAAATGTACATGACAGAAATCCCACAGAGGCAGTCAACCCATGTACATGACAGAAATCCCACAGACGCAATCAACCCATGTACATGACAGAAATCCCACAGAGGCAGTCAACCCATGTACATGACAGAAATCCCACAGATGCAATCAACCCCTGTACATGACAGAAATCCCACAGAGGCAGTCAACCCATGTACATGACAGAAATCCCACAGAGGCAGTCAACCCATGTACATGACAGAAATCCCACAGAGGCAGTCAACCCATGTACATGACAGAAATCCCACAGATGCAATCAACCCCTGTACATGACAGAAATCCCACAGAGGCAGTCAACCCATGTACATGTCAGAAATCCCACAGAGGCAGTCAACCCATGTACATGACAGAAATCCCACAGACGCAATCAACCCCTGTTCATGACAGAAACAGACCACTGTTTTTAGTTTGCGAACTGAACACAGAAGTCTCCATGTCCAGGAAATTCAACATTGGGGACTCAACACTCTGCCCGTGTGGACAAGCAGCATAGAATACTGAAGATATGCTACAGATATGCTCTCTAGCAGAGAGATACTCTGACTGGTCAACTCTGGTGGAAACCAGGCTGTGTGGAAAAGTGGAAGACATGAGTGGCACCACAGAGTTCATAAAAGGCAGCGGCCTTCTCATCCAACAACCACGGGCAGGAAGAACTGGAAAAAAGGAGAAAACATTTATGAATTGAAAAGAGCAACAACAATATTGAGATTTGTAGAAGGATGCTCTTTTTCTACATCTGCTAATGAAACGTTTAACAGATGAGCTCAGAGCAAAACATGCACCTTTTTATACAAATGCAAAATAAAAAGAGTTCTAAAACTCTATTGCGTGGAAAAAAGAACAAACAAGTCCATTGAATTGAAACTCAGTATTGAAGATGGCAATTTAGACAAAGTTACAAGATTTTAAGGATTTTTGGTACTTTAGACAAAACTGAAGAACTTATGGTAATGCTGGTGAAGAAGTTTTGATGATATAGACAAAGTTAAGAAAGTGACACATTTTTGGTGTGTTAAATAAAGTTGAAGAAAGTAATGAATTTTTTGTGATTTCAAAAAAAAAAAAAAAACTGTCTGAAGAAGATAATCAAGGAAAATGTGCAGGTGTGGGAGGGGGGTGGAAAGGGTTGGAATTTTTGAGAAATTTTGCAAAGGAAGGGTTGCATTGATGGGTTCCAGATGTGAAAGATGATGTATGCATAAAAGACAAAGCAGTAGAATATCTGGCTTATGGTAGAGTGGAATTTTAAAAGTTTGCTGTTGCATAATGTAGACCTTTCGAGTATCATTTAGAAGTGTGCCACTTGCAAAATATATGTTGTTTCACATTCCTAGTCAGTCCCTGATCTCTCTCGTTATCACATGGCTAGTCAGTCCCTGATCTCTCTCGTTATCACATTGCTAGTCAGTCCCTGATCTCTCTCGTTATCACATTGCTAGTCAGCCCCTGATCTCTCTCGTTATCACACTGCTAGTCAGTCCCTGATCTCTCTCGTTATCACATTGCTAGTCAGTCCCTGATCTCTCTCGTTATCACATGGCTAGTCAGTCCCTGATCTCTCTCGTTATCACACTGCTAGTCAGTCCCTGATCTCTCTCGTTATCACATTGCTAGTCAGTCCCTGATCTCTCTCATTATCACACTGCTAGTCAGTCCCTGATCTCTCTCGTTATCACACTGCTAGTCAGTCCCTGATCTCTCTCGTTATCACATTGCTAGTCAGTCCCTGATCTCTCTCGTTATCACATGGCTAGTCAGTCCTTGATCTCTCTCGATATCACATGGCTAGTCAGTCCCTGATCTCTCTCATTATCACATCGCTAGTCAGTCCCTGATCTCTCTCGTTATCACACTGCTAGTCAGTCCCTAATCTCTCTCGTTACTGTTTTGCTTTACAGATATGAGATCCTGTGACAAACTGTGTCCTTGTCTTGCTCCTTTCTTTAACTGTCTATCCTGCTCTCTGTTGCATACTTTTTTCTTATTCTAATTAGTGCTTCTTTTTTTCCAGAATTATGCAAGGTATTTTCCAAGCTTTACAGCAGTGACCTCATTTTAATAAAGATGATTCAACAAAATAATCAACATTCTGATTCTAATGTCTCCTAATAACCCCTGTCTCTGCTGTGCTTCCATCTGGCATGGCACATCTCCCCTCATCAAATGTTTGATATCAATAGTATTTTTTTTATTTAGTAGCAATCGCTCTTTTGGAATATTTCTTGTTCCATTCTGCTCTTTCTGTACCTGATACATTTAAACCAGACATCATTATCATAATCTGATGTGATATATAACACATAGCTCACATTCCATTCCCCCTGTCAGTTCCATCTTGTGCATTTCCTCTGATAGTATGGACGAAATCCTTGTCCAGTGCTTTTAGCGTCTCTCAATAAAGTTCATCTTAGGGTCTCTCTTTGACAGGTTTGGGTCCTCAGTCCATTTGTTTCACATCTCAGTGCCTGTTTGTTGTAATACTATCTGTCTGCTGTCCCTCATGATGTTCCCAGTATTACCATATTATTAGAAGTGTTCGTCTGACTGTTGGTGTGAGTGTTTGAGAATTGGTCTGAATGTCGGTCTTTTTGATCAGAGTGTTTGAGTGTTGGTCTGAGTGTTGGTCTGAGTGTTGGTCAGAGTGTTGGTCTGAGTGTTGGTCTGAGTGTTTGTCTGAGTGTTGGTCTGAGTGTTGGTCAGAGTGTTTGTCTGAGTGTTGGTCTGAGTGTTGGTCTGAGTGTTGGTCTGAGTGTTGGTCTGAGTGTTGGTCTGAGTGTTGATCTGAGTGTTGGTCTGAATGTTGGTCTTTTTGATCAGAGTGTTAGTCTGAGTGTTGGTCTGAGTGTTGGTCTGAGTGTTGGTCAGAGTGTTTGTCTGAGTGTTGGTCTGAGTGTTGGTCTGAGTGTTGGTCAGAGTGTTTGTCTGAGTGTTGGTCTGAGTGTTGGTCTGAATGTTGGTCTTTTTGATCAGAGTGTTTGTCTGAGTGTTGGTCTGAGTGTTGGTCAGAGTGTTTGTCTGAGTGTTGGTCTGAGTGTTGGTCTGAGTGTTGGTCTGAGTGTTGATCTGAGTGTTGGTCTGAGTGTTGGTCAGAGTGTTTGTCTGAGTGTTGGTCTGAGTGTTGGTCTGAGTGTTGGTCAGAGTGTTGGTCTGAGTGTTGGTCTGAGTGTTGATCTGAGTGTTGATCTGAGTGTTGGTCTGAGTGTTGGTCTGAATGTTGGTCTTTTTGATCAGAGTGTTTGTCTGAGTGTTGGTCTGAGCATTGGTCTGAGTGTTTGTCTGAGTGTTGGTCTGAGTGTTGGTCTGAGTGTTTGTCTGAGTGTTTGTCTGAGTGTTTGTCTGAGTGTTTGAGTGTTGGTCAGAGTGTTTGTCTGAGTGTTGGTCTTTTTGATCAGAGTGTTTGTCTGAGTGTTGGTCAGAGTGTTTGTCTGAGTGTTGGTCTTTTTGATCAGAGTGTTTGTCTGAGTGTTAGTCTGAGTGTTTGTCTAAGTGTTGGTCTTTTTGATCAGAGTGTTTGTCTGAGTGTTGGTCTGAGAGTTGGTCTGAGCGATTGTCCAGAGACTTTTCTTATTTCTTCATCTCACTTGAACTCACCCCATTTAATGTCCATTAATTTCCTTACACATTTGTTTTCAAAAATATTTGTTGAGTGGCTTTTCAACTTTCACTAACACATGTTTAGTAGCTTTTCAACTTTCACTGGCATATGTTTAGTGGCTTTTCAACTTTCACTGGCAGATATTTTTAGTGGCTTTTCAACTTCCACTGGCATATGTTTGGTGGCTTTTCAACTTTCACTGGCATATGTTTAGTGGCTTCTCAACTTTTCCTGGCATATGTTTAGTGGCTTTTCAACTTACACTGGCATATGTTTAGTGGCTTTTCAACTACCACTGGCATATGTTTGGTGGCTTTTCAACTTTTAACTGGCATATGTTTTGTGGCTTTTCAACTTTCACTGGCATATGTTTTGTGGCTTTTCAACTTTCACTGGCATATGTTTTGACTTAAATATTACTGAAATTGAAAATACATAACTTTGTTTTAAAACAATATACTTTAGAGCTAAAATGAACAAAGAAAACTACAAGAACCAACCTGACAGAAACTTCGGACGACTTCCTCCCGTCGTGTTTTACCATCTTGTACCTGGCTATGTTACTAGGCGGCCGATATATCCGCAATCCATGGGACAATATCCGGGTGGTCATATCATCATCCTCTGCGCCCCAACCCCAGTACATATTGGAATAGCCATTGACTAAAACAAACTGATCTGTCTTGAACATGAGAACTCCGCCCACCAGACCATCATATGGTAGTCTGTTGGAGGAAAAGTTTTTGTAAGATGATCTAACTTTATTAGCTCACACAAACACAAAACTATATATATGTATAAACCAACATAAACATACAAAACTATAAATAAGCCCACGCAAACATACAAAACTATAAATACATATACGCAAATATATAATATATATATATATATATATATATATATATATATATATATATATATATATATATATATATATATACATACAAAATTATATATACAAAATATATAAAAAAAAAAATATATATAAACCCACACAAACATACAAACTATATATAAACCCATACAAAACTATATATAAACCCACACAAACATACAAAACTATATAAAAAAAAAACTATATATAAACCCACACAAACCTACAAAACTATATATAAACCCATACAAAACTATATATAAACCCACACAAACATGCACAACTATATATATAAACCCATACAAACATGCAAAACTATATATATATAAACCCATACAAACATACAAAACTATATATATAAACCCAGACAAACATACAAAACTATATATAAACCCATAAAAACATACAAAACTATATATAAACCCACACAAACATACAAAACTATATATAAACCCACACAAACATACAAAACTATATATAAACCCACACAAACATACAAAACTATATATAAACCCACACAAACATACAAAACTATATATAAACCCACACAAACATACAAATCTATATATAAACCCATGCAAAACTATATTTAAACCCACACAAACATACAAAACTATATATAAACCCACACAAACATACAAAACTATATATAAACCCACACAAACATACAAAACTATATATAAACCCACACAATCATACAAAACTATATATAAACCCACACAAACATACAAAACTATATTTAAACCCACACAAACATACAAAACTATATATAGACCCACACAAACATACAAAACTATATATATAAACCCATACAAACATACAAAACTATATATATATAAACCCATACAAACATACAAAACTATATATAAACACACACAAACATACAAAACTATATATAAACCCATACAAACATACAAAACTATATATAAACACACACAAACCTACAAAATTATAAAATCTCACACAAACCTACGAAATTATAAAAACTCAAATAAACATACAATATAATGTAAACCTATATGATGATTGGCACCTTTTCATCTTTCGAGACGATAGTGTTATATTGCGCTATGAGGAGGCATGAGACTCACAGCCCATGGCGATGGCGAGTGTGACTAGCAAGACCCGCCCGTGTCAAGAAAAGTCTTCCACAATGATAGCATGGGATTTCAGGACCATTCGTGTCAACATTTGTGTTTAATCGTTTCTTTTCAGACGCTTAGCTTTTCGCAATTATTTCTTTCTTCACTCTCATTCCCTTCCTGATATGCCCTTTCTACACAACAACGGTCCATGGCATTTTGTTCCTATGAGTCCACCTCAATACCGGTATCATTCATGTCCAGCTTGCACACATCTTTATGCCGTAGCAGAGGTCGGCCTTGACATCTTCTTCCTGCCTTTAATTCACCATAAAGGATGTCTTTAGGGACTCTTCTCTCCTCAATTTTCTAGGTGTGACCCAGCCACCTGAGCCTTCGTAGACTGAGCATTGAGAAGACTGTTGTAGTACCTGCTCTTTCCAGTTCTTCAGTGTTTGTGATTTTGTCCTGTCACTTAATGCCAAGTATTCTTCTTAGGCATCGCATGTGAAAGCCATTTAGCCGTCTCTCCTGATGCAAAAAAGTTGACCAAGTTTCACTGCCATAAAGCAGAGTGCTGAGAACACAAGCCTGACAGACAAGGGTTTTTGTTTTAATTGCAAACTTTCTGTTCTCCCAAACTCTCTTTGTCAATCTGCTCATTGTTGTTGCTGCCTTACCTATTCTGACGTTGATTTTTTGATTTTTTGGTCCAGCGATAGTTTACTATTCACTGTGGAACCCAGATAGGTAAAATGGTCTACTGTCTCAAGCTCTTCACCGTCAATGTAGACTGTAGGTCTGTCATTACACCTTGCACCATAACCTTTGTCTTCCTTTTGCTGACTATTAGTCCAAGTTCACGGCATGCATGAGCAAAGGCAGACAGTAAAAATTGCAGCTCCATCTCTGAGTAGATCCTTATTGCACTATCATCTGCAAACAGCAGCTCTCTGATAAGTACCTTTCTTATCCTGGTTTTGGCCTTCAGCCTGCGTGCATTGTAAAGGCTGCCGTCAGATCGAGAATGAATAAAAATACCACCCTCCTGATCTGGAAAGGCAGGTGTCAAAAGAAGTGAAATGTATATTCCAAAGAGGGTAGGACCAAGTACACACAGCCCTGCTTCACTCTGTTTTTGATTACAAACTCCTATGTTCTTCTTCTTCTCCTTCTCTTCCACCTTGTACCTCATCGAAGTGTCGGGGGGAGATGTAATGTTCGTTGATGAACTCTGTTAAAAGCACTATTAAGATTGATGTTCATTTCTGTAAGGCTGTTCTTAATGCTATCACTCCATATTTTCCGAGGTATTCCACTCGCTCTATAGCCGTTGTAACGTTTTAGTGTGGCTCGCTGTGGCAGATAGTACCAGGCCATTCTTGATAGGTGTCCAAACCACTTCATCTGTTGTTCTTTGATTATCTGTAAGACTGGCTTTATTCCTAGCATTCGTCTGATTTCATGATTTCATATTCTGTCTTTCCTTGAAACCCCTGCAGCTCTTCTAAGGCATTTCATCTCTGTTGTCACAATTTTACGTTCATTGGAGGATGTAAGTGTCCACGTTTGGCATTGATAGCATAGTGTTGGCCAAAAAATAGTTCTGATAAGATTCGCTTTAGTACTCGGAGTCTTCCGATGTTACACCCTCAAAGTTGATTGTACCTTTCATACCTGTGTGGAACGACTCAATAATGCTCAGTAGAGTAGGTGGACACCCAATCTTCTTCAGTGCGTTGAACAGACCTTTTCGACTAACCAAATCAAATGCCTTGGTAAGATCAATAAAAGCAACATACAGTGGTTGATTTTGTCGAAAGCCACACAGGGACTCTAGGTAAATGTGGTCCCCTAGGATCTGGAGTCTTCGCAGAACAATTCCCGCAAGCATTTTTCCAACAGTACACAGCAGTGATATTCCCCTGTAGTTATTGCAGTCACCCTGATCACCCTTGTTCTTGTACATAGTAATGATACTTGCGTCTCTGAAGTCTTGCGGAACCTGTCCCTCTTGCCTTCCTGATGATTTCAATAGGAATTCCATCTCTGCCTGGGGCTTTCCCTGGAGCCTGTTCATCAATAGCATTCCTAAATTCCACAATTGTTAGAAATGTGTCCAGATAGTCAAGAGTTGGTAGCGTCTCTATGACATTAAGAGCACCATCTGCTAGTTTACTATCAACTGAGTAAAGCTCCAGATAATGTTCCACCCATCTATCTATCTGCTTCTTCTTGTCATTATAATCTCCCCATTTAAATTCTTTAGTGGTGCACTTTTTTTCAATAGTAGGACCGATGGCCTTCTTGATCCCCTCATGCATGCCTCTAACATTACCACCACTGCTAGCATTTTGAATGCTTTCACATAGCTGGATACAGTAGTTGTTGGAACACTGTTTAGCTACGTTTTGCAAATGATTTCTAGCTGCTCTCAGTTCGCTGAGAGTGTTCCTTGTTGTTCTTCCCTTGTTTCTGAGGAGTATTAACTTTTTGCTGTCAATTAAAGGTTGGAATGTCTGGGTATTTGCTTCAAACCAGTCTTTACTTCTGTGTTCTCTAATCCCATAGACTGATACAACTGTTTTGTAAACAGTCTCCCGGACACACAAACTTACAACATTATAAACCCACAGGCAAACTGACAACACTGTAAATCCACAGACAACCAGATGATTTATATACCCACACACACACACAAGCTGACAACCAAATGACTTATATACCCAGACACACACACACAAGCTGACAAGACCACACTGACAGTGACACACAAACTCACATATACTGGAACTTGTCGATGCCGATCGACATGTGTTTGGGCTGCTCTGTGCAGGAATACATGTTCCGGTCATCTTCCGGCACCAAGTCCACATCGTGGAAACAGACGCAGTGTGAGTCGAAGAGTTTCAGGGCCTCTCGGAAAGCTGCGTTCATGATTCGGCCTTTGTTGAAGGTGTCATTGCCGAACTGCAAATCAGACAAAATAACCAATGTTATGCATGATAATTACTTGTAATGACTTGATGGGAATGTTTCTGTCAACGGTTTATGTAAAATGATGGGAGCTTTTTTCCAACTCACCAGCACACCTAGTTTAACTCAACTCCTGCAGTATCTGAAGGTTTTATCGGAGACGAACAGAGGTTTAAATAACCAAAAGAAAAACCACCAGTACCTTGTTCCAACAAAAATGCTTAAACTGGAGAAGTCTGATTTCTTAGTATGCTGTTACCAATTATGAAAAAGGCCATAGCTTACTGAATATTGGGTGGGATTCACTGAAGAACTAATCAGACATGACGGGCTATTTGGGAACGTTGGAGAGAAATCCTTTGAATGCCGTAGAGTTAGGAGAAGAGGAACGACATTATGCATAAGAATATGAGGGAAAAACAAAATGCAGGAAGAGAAAGAGCGATGATGTGCTTGCTGACGGTGATGAGGAGGAGGAGGAGAAAGAGAAAAAGTGTCTGGAAGAAGGAGGCGAAGACTTCCTCACTAGAAGGCGACTAGAATCTGAAGTAGTCTCGTCGTTTTGCACGATTACAAGAATCGATCAACACTGGCAAGCGCTCGCCGCCGTCAGTCTTTGTACTGTCTAATTGGCACTTCACTCCCAACATGTCTTGGCAACGTCAGATGTGTTAACCTTTGAACTTGCACACAAGTACGTCACGTCTGCCATTGTTCACTTGCCTCTGTGGCTTGTGTGCCCATATACAACTTGGAGTAATGTTTAGTGGAAGACATAGTAGTAAACCATACATTCCACAGAGTAAAACAAACCACACACATCGCCCATTATATTGAATCCCGCAGACTACACACGATAATGATCCGCACACATCAGCACAGTGTTCAAGTTGACACAAGGCCAACATGCGGAAACGTGGGGTCAGGGGTCAAAAGCCCCAGTCCTACTGTGGACAGATTAATCTTACAATACAGTCAATAATGATTCACGGGCCATTTACTAGGACTCTGCGGACCGGATCTGGTCCGCGGTCTATTTGTTGAATATCCCCGGTGGGGGAAGAGAGGGGGAGGGGGGCGTCACTGATAACACTTATTGTAAGGAATCACACATATTAAGAAATCTCACACCACACATTGTGAGGAATCTCATACACTCGGCAATAAAAGGAATCACATACACCATACACTGTATGGGGTTTTCATACACATGTTTTAACGAATCCCATACACCATACACTGTATGGGGTTTTCATGCACCACATGTTATAACGAATCCCATACACAATACACTGTATGGGGTTCTCATACAGCACACGCTGTAACGAATCCCACATATCTTACAGAAGATAACCACACATATCTCACCAGGAATATGTGGGAGGAATAATGATCAAGCTCTGGTGTAGAAACCACAACCAGGTGAAGATACCACAACCTGGTGTAGATACCACAACCTGGTGTACATACCACAACCTGGTGTAGATACCACAACCAGGTGTAGATACCACAACCAGGTGAAGATACCACAACCTTGTGTAGATACCTCAACCAGGTGAAGATACCACAACCAGGTGTAGATACCACAACCGGTGAGGATAAAACAACCTTGTGTAGATACCACAACCAGGTGAAGATACCACAACCATGTGTAGATACCACAACCTTGTGTAGATACCACAACCATGTGTAGATACCACAACCATGTGTAGATACCACAACCTTGTGTGGATACCTTAACCTTGTGTAGATACCTTAACCTTGTGTAGATACCACAACCTTGTGTAGATACCTTAACCTTGTGTAGATACCTTAACCTTGTGTAGATACCTTAACCTTGTGTGGATACCATAACCTTGTGTGGATACCTTAACCTTGTGTAGATACCACAACCAGATGTAGATACCACAACCAGGTGTGGATACCACAACCAGATGTAGATACCACAACCAGGTGTGGATACCACAACCAGG